GAGGGAGAAGCAGACTCCCCGCCGAGCAGGGAGCCCGATGCGGGACTCGATCCCGGGACTCCAGGATCATGACCTGAGCCGAAGACAGTCGCTTAACCGAGCCACAAGGTGCCCCCAGGCATTCTTTATAATCACACTGCTCTTCTTACCCGTGTTGGTACTACCGCACAGCCTGCTATCTGCTTCTCAAGATCTGTGGTACGGTGCCAGTGTCTGAGTTCTGCCGGGGCTGCCACCAACATTGTTGCCTGCTCCCAGGTCTGTAAGGACCTCAACAACCACCTGCCAAGGCACAAGAAAGCCCCCAACTTCCTAGGAACTCTGGCACGCTGGCATAACTGGGCATGTGCTTCAGGCAGGGGCCATGATGGGGGGCCCTCCCAGGAGCCTACCTTCCTGAGCCCCAGTCACTGCGCTCACACGGAATCCAGCCCCCCACCGCCACCCCCAGTCTCTGCCTGTTTTTAGGCTGCCAGGCTGCAGGTACAGGAGGGGTGTTTCTAGTCATGGGGCCTGCCCAGATCGCACATCTTTCTTTTCATTTTCTTTAGAATGACAGCTCAGAAACAAATAATTGAAGAAGCACAGTTTTAAAACAGCTAAGGAGGCCGTCTTTCTTAATGAATTTGCCCCTCTTTGACCGGCTCTAGAGAAGGAGGGTCGTGCCGTAGACTGCTGCGCTGGGTCTTCGCAGCCTCTTTCCCGTGCCCCGCCCCTTTAGCAAGCACCGCCCCCCCACCCCGCCGGCGGGGCTAGTTCTTTGTTTTGTTCTGTGCTGTGTTCTTTTAGACCAACTCCTTTCTTCTCCTTCCACCAGGTCCAACCCCCACTGTGGGATTGTGTAGGTGGAAGAGTTTAGCTGCCTCCCGAAGTCCACCTTCCGGTAGAAGGCCTGGTCTTTTGCTTCCCAGGACCTGGGGAGGCCTTGACACAAAACATGGTGGCAGATGCTCTCCGCAGGGGAATGCAATGGAAGCAGAGGCAGCTGGGAAGGTTCGGGTGGCTGAGAGACCATGGGGTGCAGGGAGCAGAGTCCCCTGGTTCTTCTAAACTTTTCTGATTCACCAAAATGTTTTTTAAATGAGAATTATTAACCGACCACTGAAACTTGAGAGGTTCTCTTGGTCCAGGTGTGACCTGTGAATGTGGAAAGTGAATGCTATTTTTCATTTCACTGCTTTTAAGTAAGACCCTATGCATCTCCTTCCCCGTTTCTGCCCAGTGGAGACATTGAGCTGTCTAGGACTGCTTATTGCTTTTACTTGAGAACATTTACAAGAATGTCCATGTAATTTCTCCATGCCACGCCATTTGGAGACTTAGGTGGCTATTCGTGGTGGTGATCAAGTTGTTGTGGCCTGTTAATACAGCCCAGTACTCAGAAGTAGTATGAATAAAGTGGTTCTGTAGGACTTAAAACTGGGAACTGTTAACATGTTCTGTTAACATGTTTCTGTCCAGAAAGAAATCTGTAAGGTCCTGATGACTGTGTGCCCTGGTCGCCATGATGTAATGGGCATTGCTGTAACTGGTGTCTCTGCTTCTAAACAGAGAAATGTTCATGGGATGGCTTTGTCCAATCAGAACAGGATTCATGGCACTTTTGTCTTCTATCTGCATGGTTAAGAAATAAAAACCTTTCAGTCTGGGGAAAAAATAACTCAGATCATGTTACTCCCCCCTCCAGAATCCTCCATTGGCAGAAAAAAAAAAAAGTCCTAATTCCTTAACAGGGCTGACAAAGCCCAGCACTGTCTGGCTCCTGCCGACATCTCCCACTGATCTCCTCTTCACTCACCCCTGCACTCGCCTCTCTGCTGCTTCTTACGGAGCACATTCCGGCCTCAGGGGTTTTGCACTTGTCTTTCTCTCTCCGGAATTTTCTTCCTACAGATATTGTCCTCTCTGGCTCCCTCCATTCTTTCAGGCCTCAGTCAAACGCCACTTCTCCGGAGGCCGTCCCGGCCTTGCCTGTCTGAAGTCATTCTCTACCTCCTTCCATCCCTTCTTCCCGCCCCTTAGTGATTTTCTCCACATCACTGTAACTCTCTGAAATGGTCTTGTTTTCCTCTCTTCTCCTTCCTCCTCTGATGGGGCGGGAGAACAGCGACACTGACGGGTCGCCACGTGATGTGTTGTGCAGCTGGAGCATATCTGGGAGTGAAAGGGCCACTACTAAGAACGACTCCGGGACAAGAAGCCTGACTGGTACAGGACCGTCACCCCAAAGAGACAGAGAGACAGGAGCCTCCCCTGACGGACACAGGAGCTGGGCCGTCACTGCCCAGCCGAAAATCTTCGGGCAGGAACAATGCCTTGTTCTTTGCTCGGCCGGGGCCCGGGCAATACTCTGACACATCTGGATAAAGTCCAGATTGGCATACAGCTTACCCCAAATGTGTGTGATGGGGGATCGGAGGGTGGAGACTCCCCTGATGTTGGGACACGGGAGCTGGGCCTTGGGGCAAAGGCAGCAGTTTAGGTAAGGTGGGGCTGGATAGGGAATTCCTGAGGGAGCCAACGGCATGACCAAAGGCACGGGGATAGGAGATGCCCGATTTCAGGTACCACAGCGGGTACCCTGGGTGCGGCTGCTTGGAAGAGACAACGCTGGGTGGGTAGGGTAAGGCCATTTTCTGGAAACTCAAACTCTGAATGCAAAGCCAAGGCGTTAGCCCATGGATAGTGGGGAGGGGTATCAGAGGTGGTTCAGAGGAGGAGAGCTCACAGGGCAGCTGGAGGCAAGGGGAGGGGAGTGTCTGCAACTCCAGCTCTCTAGTATCTTCAGTTTGACCTTAGGCTGCAGCTCTTCCAGGAAGCCCTCCAAGATTGCCCTTGCCTGCAACAATCTCTGCCACCTCCCACGTGGCAGCCTTGAACCCAAACTTTGGATACTACTGCCTGGCTGGGCTACCTCCTCTGGGTTTCTCTTTTGTGTCGGACACCTGTTTGTGATGCTCCCAAGGGTATCAGAGTGAGCCTCTACGCATTCTGGTGATCCTGGAAACTGGTGCCCCAAGTCATTTGCCTGCCCTGCACCTGGTGGTTGGCAGGTGCACTTTGGCTCTTAGAGGCCACATTTGGGCCCAGTCGCATGCTGCATATCCTTAGGCCCTAGACAATGGTGCTTACCAAAACGGGCATTTACCTGATCTTTCTGCTGCATGGCCAGTGGTACGCTTCTTTCACTCTGTGACTGATCTCAGCAAGGGGCCATGCCAGCCGTGTGTCCCAGCCACCCATCTGGGCCAGGAGTCTTGTCCTCAGAACCCACTTCTGCTTGCTCCCTCATTCAGATCCTGAGTCACTCATTTGTTTATCCACATATTTTAGCAACCACTCCATAATGGGCCCTGAGGCCCAAGAGGACTATTCTGATCTCTGCCCTCAGTGACCTCAAGAGCCCAATGGTGAGGCCGAAAGCAGTGATACTAACCACTGACGTTTAGTCAGCACATACTACGTGCCAGGGGCTTCCATGGACACAGCAGCCAGAGTGGCTTTCTAGACCCGAGTCAGGCCATGTCCTTCCTCTGCTCCAAACCCTCCAAAGGCTCCAATCACATGCAAGAGGAAAAACCAATGTGCTCCTCACGACCTGCAAAAGCCTCATGATCTGACCTCTTGTCACCTCTCTAACTTCATCTCCTCTGGCTCACCTCCTCCAGATCACTTTTCTGCGACACCACCTCCTGCTAGTCTTCAAACCTGGCTCAGAAACTTGCTTGTTCTGCCCTGTGCCTGGAACCTTCTTTTCCAGATACAAGCATGCAAGGCTGGCTCTTCTATTCCTTAAGGTTTCTCAGCTCATCTGTTACAATTTCATCTCTTCAGGAAGCCCCCCCGATGACCCCTTCTCAAAACTGCCCTGTTGGGATGCCTGGGGTAACTCCGTTGGTTAAGTGTCTGACTCGTGATTTCGGCTCAGGGTCGTGACCTCAGGATCATAAGATAGAGCCCTGCGACAGGCTCCGCACTCAGAATGGGGAGTCTGCTGGAGAGTCTCTCTCTCTCTCTCCTTCTCCCTCTGCCCCTCCCCTCATGTTCGTTCTTTCTCTTTCTAAAATAAATAAATTGCCCTG